TTGCCACCTCCAAGCTGGTCACTATTAACCTGTCTCTCTCTGCCCCCCGTCTCCTCTTTGTAGGACCACCTGTCTCCAAAGAGCCGCACCTACAGAGAGGAAGAGCTCCTGAGCCGTCGGAATTAGCCCCTCGCCATCATTACTCCTGCCTGCCAGACGGACCCCCCTCGGGAGGGCCCTCCTTCTCCCTATGAGGGCCCTTTGAGCCCCCAAGTCTGCTTGAGGCCTGCCTTCCAGTACTGCCCTCCCCAGACCATGTGGCAGTCACTGTGCCGATGCCTGCTGCTCCTCCCGCCCTTCTCGCAAGCGCCCACGGGGGCCGCTGGGTGGGGAGTGCACCTGGCCCTGTGGATCCTGAGCTTTGCCTCGGCTGTGGTACGGATGGAGAGCCAGGCCTACTCGCCCACTGTCAACACACACTACGGGAAGCTCCGTGGGGTGCGCGTGCCCCTGCCCAGTGAGATCCTCGGGCCTGTGGACCAGTACCTGGGGGTACCCTATGCTGCACCTCCCATTGGGGACAAGCGGTTCATGCCCCCCGAGCCGCCGTCCTCCTGGTCGGGGATCCGGAACGCCACCCACTTCTCCCCAGTGTGTCCGCAGAACATCCACACCGCCGTGCCCGAAATCATGCTTCCCATCTGGTTCACCTCCAACCTGGACATTGTGGCCACCTATATCCAGGATCCCAATGAGGACTGTCTGTACCTCAACATTTACATCCCCACTGAGGATGGTGAGTCCCCCAGCGGGGTGCCAGTAGGACACGTGTGTGTATGTGTGTGTGCACGCGTGTCTCTCTCTCTCTCCACTGTCCAGTTGGCGTCCTGCAGTCTGAGCATGCTGCCATCGCTTGCTCTCCTCCTGACGCATGCCTGTCTATCTGTGTGCATCCGTTTCTGGCCACGATGCTTGTCCTTCCTGCCCCCGGCTGCCATGTGCTCCTTCTCACTCTTCCTCCACATGGGCCCTCCCTCCTCTGCTCGTCTCTCCCTCACAAGGCACCATCATCCTCATCCTCAACTGGGTTGGAAAGACAGGAGAACTCTCTGGCCAGCTGCAGGGCATCCCAGCTGGTTGGGGGTGGCAGGGAGCCTCAGGTGCCCTCAGCCTGGCTGGTGATTGCCCTTCCCCTGACCTTTTCTCTCTCTGCCCCCCCCCCATTCCTGGAGGGTCCTTTGCTGCTTTCGGGGAGGGCAGGTTCCGGAGGGCTCTCTCTTCCTCCCTCCCTCCCTCCCTCCCTCCCTCTTCCAAACCGTGCCCAGCCCTTGGGCTCAGCCTTGGCAGGGCTTTCCCCACCCTGGTCAGAGAAGGGCCTGCACTAGCAGGGGGGCCGCCAGAGCAGGGGGGCCCTTTGCGGTGAGGCCGAGCACCTTAACCCTTCCTTTCCAGGGCTCTCCCCTTCGAACTGTAAGTAGCCACCGCCCCAGCGCAGTCGGCCT